AATAATAATAATAATAATAATAATAATAATATAATACAATGAGAATTTTGTGCCGCATTAGAGACATATTTAGTTGCCTTTGGGTTTGGAAATCATGCTTCAACTCTGTCAGTGTTTTCTATAGGAGAGATTCTCAAACTTATTCATTCATATTCATTGCGATCACAATAAAGTTGTTATGCTAGATTACTTAATAATATGGCAAAGTACACGAGGGTTATTTGGCTAAGGGAAGGGATGACCTTGTGGAGATCTTTATACGTCAAAGAGACTCATATCCATGCTCCATATGGAGAAAAGCACGAAAACGGAGCCTGTATCAGTATATTTGCCTGGATTCGAACTACCAGTATTCAGTGATTATAATCACTCGATCACCGCTGGGTTTGATTTGATTTGGTTTATTTGAGTATGGCGAAGCACTCGAGGGTTATCTGATTAAGGTGAAGGATGCCTTCGTGAAGGACTTTCTAAGGAAAACTGGCTCGTATACACGTTACACATGGGGAAACCTAAGAAAATGCCGTGCACGGCAGTGCGCTGGCGGGTTTCGAACATCAGACCGAATTACTAGTTGCCTCGTGTACCGATGGAATTCACTATAGAATGAAATTAATGTTCATAGTTTATTTTTAGTTGAAGTTCAAAAAGCTTATAAGCTCATTGACGGATTGCGTTTTCTGTTTTTGTAATTGCGTTGAATAGTTTCAAATTTAGTCACAGAAATTAAAATTATTTGGAAGATACAGCTTCAGGAAATGCAGTTTAATAGGCATATAGTCATATTGTGGTACTATTGTTTTCAATTCCTCACCTTTCCCATTCTTCTTATATTGCAAACTCTTTCTTGAGTATATTTAATTTTGCAAATAATTGTTGAGCACTTTTTTGTGTTATTACATCATTTTTGTATACAGTATTTAAGAAATTGTAACTCCTGTACTTTTGTAGCGAATAGACAAGATTTGAATTTGAGCTATTATCGGATGATATAAGCAGGGTGCCATCGGATGCACGATAAATAAATCTTAATGAGATGTTGGTTTTTTTCAAATAAGGAACTGTTCACTTTTACAATATTGAATACTATTTTATTTACATCAAAATATTGTTTTCAAATAATAGCTTTAGGATACTATATAAGGCTATTATGGTTTTGTTCACAGCAAATAAAGAATGATTGGAACAAAAGCAAACAAAAACTTGAAATTTTCGCTTCTGTTCGTAGCAACTTTAATTCCTTTGACAACTAAATATTGAAGAAACTGTTTACTTTGACATGAAACGAACTGAAAAAATAGTTTTTATAGTCAAAGCGAAATGTTATTTTATGTCTGTATACACAGGTTTCGCCGCAGTTAGTCTATTTTTAAGGGATTTAGTTTTGTAACTTTTAAGATGTTTATCTTAAACGATAAAATCCGGACTTTTCGAAGAGGAATGCGGTTTATTTAGAGTTAAATATACTGAAAATATCTGGGAAATGCTTTCAGCGTATTTCTTTTTCACATTGTAAGGTATTTCCTCCCTCCTTTCTGCATGCCTTCGCATAAATAAAGGTGCTGATGAAAACTAGAAATTTTGTTATAAGGTATTTCTCCCGCCTTCTTAGCATGCCTTCGTGGTGTAGTGGTCAGCAACCTTGGCGCGTTTTCGAGAGGTCCGGGTTTAAGTGCCGGCGATGGCACTGCTAATTTTTCATGTCTACTGCTTAAAAAATCGTAATGACTCTACAGTGGCATCCGAACTAAAAGGGTGTTGAATAAGGTTTCTCCACGCCCAGGATTTGGCGATTGGGTCCCCTGAAAACCCCAGTCGCCCTTTAAAAAGAGGTGTATATAAGGTATTTTCTCCCACTTTCCTAGCGTGCCATCGTGGTGTAGTGGTTCTGCATCCAGATGTCCTTGGTTCGATTCCCGGCGAAGGCGTCTGCTCATTTTTCATCTTGCCTGCTCCAAAAAGAATCCTAATGTCTCTACAATGTAAGGTATTTTCTCTCTCCTTTGTGCATGCCTTCGTGGTGCACAGTCGGCGCGTATTCGAGATGTCCAGGATCGAGTCCCAGCGAAGGCATGGCTCATTTTTCACGTCTTCCGTATAAAAAAATAACAGAATGTTTCTACAACATGTTCAATTAGTGGCAATTTTTCTTCAATGTACATTAGGCTTATTATTCGATATTGTTTTTCTATTTCAAATGGTGGTATAAAAATGTCTTTTTTCCCCCTAATTCTGAATTCTGTTTATATATATATATTTGCTTTTAATCATTGATAACACATACGTTCAGATATGTTGCACTATTCACTGTTTTGCTTAAATAACTGTTGCAGTTTTATTTATTCATCCTTTATCTCTATGAACAGTTTTACAGTTACCTCTGATTCTTGGCTATACAATGGCTTAACAGAATTTTGTCTTAAGAAAAGTGTAGTCATCCGTCCATATAAATTCCGTATCTCTGGAAGTTATCAAATAAAGAGCCACCTGCTTAAGTTAACTATTTGTACTTTATCATAAACCATAACCTTTTCTTTACTGTTATACAAGAAGTGCACAATATCTGTTTTCAAGAACAGGAAATTTCCGTCGTGGCCAGAAATGAAGGGTGCATAATGAAGCGAGCATTCACACCGAATTAAACAACAGCAGTAACTAAATCCTTCTGATGTGGGAGATTAAATTCATGAACTGTTTGTTCCTTACGCAACAATGCTTCCAACCCAGTAACTCAAATTCCTTATCTCGGCGGCTATTTCGATTGGTATGTGGAAGCGGTGGAACATTTTTATCTCTAGTTCCTCCTTTTAGGGCCTTTTTTTCCCTCCTACTCTCTCTTTCTGCTCAAAGATACTTTTTTTTGGGCCATGAATTCTGTTCTTTCTCTGGCGTATTTCTTTGGCGAGGGGACAGCCACGCTATCATTGGAGTAAAGGTCTCCGGGGTGTCCGTGGAAAATTGCAATCGATTTGAGTCATGGGAGAGAGGACGGAGTTCGAGTTGAACAACTATTGCAAGTGAAGAATAAAGAATGAGAGGCGACTTGATGTGAAAATAATATTGTGTAAGTGGGATGGATTTCCTCCATGTCAGCTGAGGTGTAACATAGCCTGTTCCAGCAGTTGCGAACTTTCTTCTAGGTTAACAGCCAATTTTTCTCTTTGCAGTTTCTTTTTTTTTGGGGGGGGGTCTAGTGAACGGACAGTTATTAGTTGAAACCTCATCGAGAATAGCCTAATCGCCTCATCACCGAATATTTCCCAGGATGCACCACAATTCTACACCTTCGAGAACGGTGTTGGACTTCTTTGGAACTCGGAATTCAGGTCTAACGCCATGATAGCCTGCCTGCCTTGATGAATAGGGCGGAACAATTTCTGAAGTAATGGCTGTCGCATTTTTGTGACCTAATTTCTGCTAAAAATAAATATATATGCATAAATATATTATGCATGTATACTAGCCAAAATTTATCCATTGTACCTAACACTATTGATAGTTACAAAGAAAATATTCTATATACAACAAAATGCCAAATAACTGGGATTACAAATTTTTAAAATACTCTAAAAATTCCGATAAGCAGAATGCATTTTATCTGTACGCCAAATATTAAATACTGAGTTCACTGCAAGTAAAGAAAATTTATTTCTTTGTTAAACGTATTTAATATGAGCAAACGTTTTACAGTTAAAGAAATATCTACAAATAAGCTGCATGCATAAGTCGGAATTGACGTAACATCACCATGTTCGTTTAGTCTATTACTTTCAGAAAAGATCTTAAACCAGAGAACCACTCGTGTAATAAGCAAATTAAATTTATACACAATACTGTAGGCGAATCTTCCTGTTATAAAACCTATGTATTGAACTGTATAATTCTTTTATAGTATTTAAATCTACAAATGCACATTCATAACATCAACGTTTATAGCATTAAATATATTCAAATAAATACACAGAGCTATATTTCACTTCCCTCAAGAACAGCAAGTGATTCGTAAAGCTGAACTCGTGTCATGAATTCCGAGATCTAGATTTTACTGTACATAGGCAATGTTGGGAAAATCAAATACACATGAATATGAATTTAATAACTTCTTAATATGTATTGAATTGTAATATAACTTAATACTTTAAATTAAACAAAGAATTAAAATTTGCAAATAAATTAGCAGCAAGATAGATTTTTCTGAGGAAATAATAAGTGATCTGGATAACTTGAGTAATTGAAGAGTATAAGAAACTAATATGTTATGTATGAGTTAAATCTGCATGCAATACTTGCAGAATTATCAACAATTTGAAAGTTAAGTGCGGCTAAGCCTAATTTGTTTTTACCATACCAGCCATATTTATTTACATTTGAAACTTAGCAGAACAGTGAACTAAGTCTTTCTGCACCTTCAGTGTCTTTTCGCCGATTGGGACCAAAAAGAAACTTTTAGTTTTGTGCACCGAAAAAACTGCCTTCTTGCCTGCTGGCCGAATTGCTTTTTTTTTTTGCGTAGAAACTGTAATTTTAATTGTAAAAATTGTTTTTTAATTGTTTTTACTGTATCTGGTGTTTTATGTTTTTCTATACCTTTCAATTTTCAATGAAAATATTTTGAGTTTTATCTTGCCAATAAGTTTAAATGAAATGCAAGGAAAAAAAGCGTATAATTTAATATTCGGTACAAAAAATCATGTGGTGTACACATCAGCTTTATTTTATTCCTGTTTTGTTTACTGATGATTAGGGTATTGACTATTGATGAGTAGGTTAAAATATCGGAATTCTCTTATTATACCAGAAATTATTCTGTAAATATGTAATCCGGAAATCTGCAGTTCTGTTACATATATAAAGCTGGTACTTTCAAAGCATGTAAGATTTACGTAACTAATAGTAATGATTGCTTGATATTTTACCAAGTTGTCAAACAAGTACTGGTTTGAATGCATTAAAAACAATAAGATGAAAGAAAGAAAAGAAAAAGAAAACTAGACATTTACCTTGAGAGGGTAGACGTCAGTTTTTCAGCTTTGCGTAATCCTTCTTGCTCAACAGTGTAGAAATACGATAGAATCTTCTTAAATAGGATGATTCATACTACGGTCATCGAAGGAATATAAACAGTTGTTTTTGAAATATCCCCGTGCTTTGCTCTTTTCTCTAAAATAGCTCCATCGTTAGGTTCCTTTAAAAGATTGTAAGATAGCTGAATTAAAGATGATACAACATGCGTTTAAAACTATTATCTAAATCAATTTCTTACTATTAATCATTAGATTAATGAAAACGTTTATGCATGTAATTACAGCCAGTATTAAAATATGTATTTTCTCAGTTAGCTAAATCCCAGATCTATAGACACTATTCTTTACTAAAGCAGACAAATACCAAAACATCTATAAAACGCGATTCAACAAAAATGTTTCATTAAAATGTAATAAATAATCAACTCAAGTATTTTTTATTTGCCAAAAGATCGGGTGTTAAAATTCCCCTTTAAATCGCATTAAAAAAGTAAATAATTAAAAAATAAACAAGGACTTACTTTCGAAAAATTTTATTCATTACAAAAACCATTTTAAGTTTTTACAGAATGGTGATAGTCTCTAAAAATTTATCCATTGTGTACCTAAATAAAAGCGTTCATTAAGTATTTTTATTAATATACTGTGCCAAAAATAATATATTACACGAACGCTTTGGAAGATGAAGAAAAAAAATTAACGAGTTTTCTTGCAGTTCCTGTTCTTCCACCCCCCTTACATCTTAATTGCAAAAGGGTTGATTTACGTTGCTGTCAATTTAGTGTGGTAATAAATACACAACCCTTTAAACATTAGTTGGCAATTTTTTAAGGCTTTTTAATGGCCTATTCATTCTAAACCGAGTCGTCATTTACCCGTCGCAAAATGATCCACTATTGTTTAGGGAAAGGCAGTTTTTTAGCCGTCTGTTCTACGTTTCGTCGCTTATTTTGGAACATCGAAGAGAAAACAATCGAATGTCATAAAATAAAAATTATGGCCGTTATTTTCAAAGGTGCCGGTACAGAGTTCTTTTTTTTTTCGCCCATTTTTCATTTAATTATTTTTTTTTCGTTCTTCAACTCTTTCTTCATCGAAGTTAATCATTAAAAGTTTGGCACATTTTCTCTCCAAAGTCAGAAAAATGAGTGTTTGCTGGAGTCTTCAAGCAGAGAGAAAGAAAATGCCCCTCGCTTTTTATGTCCCAACTTCCGTGTTTAACTCCTGTAGTCAGCAGTGAAGTTACGTTTCAGGAATTACTCCGGTATGTTCTTTTTTTTCTTTGCTTTTATGAAAATTTCTCAAGCTGCTACAGAAAAATCATTGCGGATTACAGAAGAGATTATTACAAATTCGCTACAGAAAAACCTCCCTAAAACGATCATCTACGATTCTTAGGTAAGTTGTTCTTCTATGAGGATACTCGTCATGTGGAATATGGCTATGATGATGTTCAATGCCTACAGGGTGCCTGAAGAGACACTGTCTGTTTTAACGAGCATCGTAGGCGGCGTGAATGTAAAATTAACATGCCATGGACGCTTCATTTCACTTATTACTACTCCCCCCCCCAAAATGGGGAAAAAGACCCTTGCAATTCAACATGACTTCCAGCAATGTCAACCCACTTCTGTAAATGTACGGGTATATGGTCCACAGTTTTTCCTAAGAGAAAACAGAAATTAAATCATTCAAAATAGCACATATTCGTTCATGAAGCTGATGCCGACTTGTAGGACGAGTATTGTCAGTACAGTCAAAAGTCGTTAATTCGGACACCCATAATCCGGAATGATCTATAATCCGGACCTCAAAGCTAAAAACTTTCTGCGAATGCGCCGTGTTGACACATGCGCAGAGGCGTTTACGCGTGCGCGTAAAACCTTTTATGTCTGCGCATATGCGTGTGCGCAAGTGCAGAATACGTTTTCGCGTGAGCGTTTTATGTTTAACGGATGGTATAAGCTAAAATTATCTAATTATCTATTTCAGTTAATATTGATGATTGCGTTCTTCCTTAATTTACTAATTAGATCCGGCTTATTATTTTTTGCAGCCTGTAAGAGCAATACAATAAAAGTAAACTTGAACTTTCGATTATGTCAAATAGAATTTCTGATTCTGGAGCTCCCAAAGGATCATACAAAACGAAAGTATGTTTCGATGTCCATCAAAGAAAAAGTGGAATTGCTGCAAAAAATGGATAAAGACATGAAGAATGTGACAGAGAGGTTAGTGAAAACGAAAAAATTTCGATTCACAAGTTAGTCGGTATTCTCGGCACAGCAATTAACGGGACTTGAACAGCGGAACTTTGTAAACTGAACAAGAAATTATGTCTGTTTATAGAATTAAAGAGAAAGTATTATCACATAAAACGAAGCAACTTAAACAACTTACATTGAAAGAAATGTTTAATAAAGTAAACAAATAAATATTAAGCCTTTTTTTTTTTTTTTGTAAATTTTGATACTTTTTAGATCATAATTGTTCTTTATTTCATAAATTACGGTTTCATATTTTTAATTTTAGAATTTCTGCATGCCATCTTACGAGATTTAAACTGATGATCTATAATCCGGAAAAATCGATAATCCGGAATCGCCGAAGTCCCGACGAGTCCGGATTAACGACTTTTGACTGTATTGGTATTGGTCAACCCCGCAGTCACAAGTCACGACAGGTCTTCGTGTAAGGTCTTCACCTATGTTTTTAACCATTATCACAGAACCCCACGCTTCGTACCTTGCTGTGATTTTAGCTGTCTCTCTCTTCCTTCCTAAGAATTGGAAGCATTATCAGTTATTTCACACAAAAGTTAGGAATATGCTTCTGTTATTTGCCATAATCGCCCGTAAAAATACGTTAGATATGCATATTTTCTCAATAAAAATGCAGACATTGATACACCAGACACCTTATATATATTTATTTATGTTCTAGAGAAGACCGGTTACTTTCAAAGGTGACAGTCTAAGGAAAATGATCTTTATAATAATTTACTGTACTTAATTATTATACAATCAACCCTTTCGTGGTGATCATCTTAGAAAGTGAAGAGAATTTCTGAGACATCAATAAAAGTATTATTTGTCACATATCTTTCCTGGAAGAGGCGTTTGTTATTTTGATTGTTCCTCTTAAAGTGGAGTATTTAAAATCACGGAAAACTTGTTCCTTCTTAAATTAATTAGTTACATAGAGAGGCTTTGTGAATAATTTTAGAAAGGAAAGTTTGTTCTTATCATCTGTTATACATTTTAAACACCAGTAGTAACATGTTTATGCTTTTTTCACCCAGATGATGTTTCCTTCAAAAATTCCTTCCTACATCGAGGGGTATCAATTAGACATCCCTCTAATAATTTTCTCTTTCCCTCTGATAACTTTCGCCCAAATCACTTCCCCCAACGGAGGAGTCAGTTTCCATTGCATTCTTCTTTCTCGTTCTAAAGATTGGTCTGTGTTTTTCTCTGGATTAAGTTCCCAGTTTCTGGTCGAGGAAATTGAATCCCTAGGTCCCTCATCTTTCTTCTTTCACCACCACCTTCTGGAGTAAAATTTTTACATCAGCGGAATTTAAGTATTCTTCAGTCAGCAAAGATTCTACAACTTACAAAACATTAAATTTATGGATCATTAATTAGGCTTTGAATCCAGGCCTATGGGCATAGGAGTTACTATCGTTAACCACCAAAATGACTGAACGAAGGGAAGTTTATTTGGGCTCAGTGCTATCTGCTGTCCTTTGTTTGATTTTGGTTTGGCTTATACTTGAGAACTCATTATATTTAGCCCTTACCGCTTACAGTGGATGCGCAAGTTGTTCCAAGCACCCATTCTTAAAAGTGCTGACGCATTAAAAAAAAAGAAAAGAGATTAGCTTGAACTTTAACTGGTATTTGAACAATTTAACATACATAAATATAAAAATCATTGTTACATTAGAGTAAGATATTAGTCTTACCATTAGTACCACCTCAAATCCTTATGTCAAGAAGGTGAATTATCTTACCTGAAGCATTCCTTTAGTTAATCAACTTTAGATGATGATTTCAGTTCCTGTTTAATTGATCCCGAAATCTGTAAAATTTTCGTCATATAATTTTTAAATATTTCATTAACTAGGTTCCTTCTCTTTTGGAATTCATGTCTGTTTTACTTGGTAAATGCTTTATGGTGGTAATTTCGTCCTCCACGAAGGTAGATAGCTCTCGAGTGCTTTGCCATAATGAAAGAAACCAAACATCTGAAGATGGGGCGGGGGGAAAAGCTTCTTCTCGAAATGACTGCAAGACGAAATAAATATTAAGATTTGGCCTAAAATGCAAGAAAAGGTCTTAATTTCTAGTAAACACTGTACCTTTGTTGCCTTTGTTCCTTATGATTTTTAAGGATGATATTATCTTAAGACATCTCTCGTATCATGAAACTCATTTAAAGATTCAGGTTTGGAGAATGCCGTTTTAGTAAAACACGGGCTTGTGTATCTTGTTACGTGAAGCAAGTCGTCATAATCTTTGTCAAACATCTCGGCCCTATAGAAAATGGGGGACAAATCTAATCTGTAAGAAAACTGTAATAATATTGAAAATGAAGGACATTAAGAACATTTTCGATCGTTAATGATTTCTGAAATATGCACTTATATGTCATTATTCAGTACCAGTATAAAATGTACTCGTTGTTAAAGAAACATCTCTTAAAGAATTATCAGTGTACGGTATTAGTAATTAAAAATAAGGATTTTAAATTCATGAAAGGTACCATTCGGTTTGTTTGTTTAAATATATACTTCTTTAATATATCCTGACTCTTTTATAATTTTTCCAATAGAACTTAATGGTAAGTTTTTTTATATCTTAATTAAATTGATTTACTTGTTAATAAGTCCTCTTAATATTTCCCGTTAATTTGAATGTATAAAAAATTAATTTCATTCAAATTAATTTTTCTTCCCGTAAGGAAAAGTTGAATCTAGGTAAACAATATTTAGAAATACTGTACAGCCCATGAAATTATGTTAGCTTAATTCAAGGAGGAATTAGGATTAAATTTTAGAGCATTTTAAGTATCTCCTATCATATGCATCATTCTATTCTGATTTATATTGGACTCACTTCTAGATACGAATGAATAAAGGAAATTAACAAAAGGCTATAATTCATTTTTCTAAACGCATCACAAAAAAGACGAGGTAGGTTTGCTTGTAAGACACCATTCCATACATGGTAATATTATTCCATATTCCCTATACTGTCGTATATTACCCTAAAGGATAATAAATACCCTTAAAACTCTATAGGGAAAATAGAAAACTGCCCTAAATATTATGCACGGAGATATTAATTAGCAAGTGTGCTTACTTCTAACATTTAAGTTAAGCAAAAAGTGAAAGTTTTTCTCTATATTTTAAACATACATTATAAAACAGGTATGGAATTCAGAACAGCATTTTAAGAATTTTCATTATACTAGACACAGATGTGTACGAATTACTATATCTTACATTCGGGAACGAATTACTATATCTTACATTACATACAGTATATAATATCGGCTTATGCATAAAACATAAAAAGAATATTATTTTTTAAAAACTAAAACCGTATCATCAGATGTCAGTAAGGATAATGTATGTACTCTTTTACATAATCTTTTTTGAAAGTATATCAAATTGAGTTTGAAATCAATTTTTTCAGCATTTATTAGTATTTATCTATTTCATCGATAATTTCATATCGTTTATTGCAACAGACAAAAGTAAATGTTTAAGTAACATTAATGAAAATTATTTTTAATCTATCGGTCTGAAAATGAAGTGTTTAGCCAGTTCAATGTCTAAAAACTCCTTAGATCAGCTTTCTATAACAAAAAAGACATTTAAGCCAGAACTAATCGTTTCCCGAGTTTCCCAAACTTTGTTTTTGCTGTGTATTGTAATCATAGCATTGCATATGCGTTTGCTGTGGAATAACGCATGTTCTATGCTTAAGCAACAACAGCAACAGGAAAAGCAATTTTGTCCCATTTTTATCATTCCGGCGTAGAATCTTGACACATCGTTCCCTTCTATACATCGCAGCTATATTTCGCGTGGAAAGATCGCTAGTTTATGTTCTTTTATCCGGCCACGCTCTGCGACTCGTGTATTGTGACGTTTCGGGTACGGGTTATTGCCGGGGTTGTGCGTAATGTGGAACCGCAAAGCTGTCAGTGGCACATATCTCACTTAACGACCAAGCGAGACGCCATATTTCGGCTTCCTGACCTAAGTATAGCTACAGTCGCGCAGCAGCACGCGTAAAAATATAGTCCCCGGGATCCGCAGGAGCGAACGGAATGAAAGATCCTCGGGATGGCGGAGGAAGAAGAGGAACAGTAACTCATCCGCCGCGGAAAAGAAAGAATACGATGAAAGTGACTTATCCTCTGGCGCCTTTGCGGAAAGAAAAGAGTAATTTTAAACCTTAGATCATTCCGCAATCCTTTACAATTTATAGAAGACTGTGGAAGAAATGAAACTGCATTTTTAATGGGATATGCAGGTGGAATTTTTTTTTCCCTCCAGAGCATTTTATCTACATCTCAAGTATGAAAAAGGGAAATAAGAATAACGGTGCTAAAATATATTAAAATAAATGAAAATACTCACCGACTGAGCCAGATGAATACTTCTTATGTACATGTATATTTAATTTGTGTCGGATTTTTTTAATAAATTAAAACAAGGGAATTTCTTACCAACATTTTTTTTTCATTCTCTTGCAGCCCACCAGCGGCCGAGCGGTAAAGTCGCTGAACACTGGTAGTTCGGTCCGAGGTTCGAATCCCGCGAACGGGCTGGCTCCACCAGCGTTTTCGTGGTTTTCCCCATGTGTAACGTGTATACGAGCCAGTTTCCCTTAGAAAGACCTCCACGAAGGCATCCCTCCCCTTAGGCAGATAGCCCTCGTGTGCTTTGCCATAATTAAATACACCAACATTTTCTTGCTTTTGAGAATGTGTATATTTCAGTACAGGAAACTAAATGTATCAGAAATTATATTATGTAAAGTATATAAACATATGTATTTAAAAGGAGTGGATTGGATTATTCAATTATGGAAAAGCACGCGAGGGCTATTTGCCTAAAGGGATGGATGCCTTCGTGTAGGACTTTCTAAGGGAAACTGGCTCGTATACACATTGCACATGGGGAAAACCACTATGTATTTAAAAGATTCCAGCATGTAACCTTCATTAATAACAGGGATTTTAATAATTATAATTATATACAGGAATTTAAAATTATGCCATGATTCGTGTTTTGCATATGGATGAAAAAATCCTAATAATGGAATAAAAAGCATTAAAAACATCGGACACTGCCATGCCCAAAAAAAAAAAAAAACAATTTACTTAAATTTTGGCTTTTTGATAAAGATTGCCATCTGTGATCTAAGGTATATATAGCATACATATATCTCTAAAAATCTAAAGTAATTGGAATGTAAGAAGCTAACACACACAAAAAAGTATTTTTCACTTTTTATTTCCTTATCTGTAATAAGCTTCCATTCCTGCATCTTGAAGATGTCAGTCCTTCAGCTGATGCAGTTTTCAGTCAAAATATCTAAAAATTCCATCAAGATTTCTATAAAGGAAGAAAGAAAAGCACAGTTTCACATTTCTATATTTCGGATCTTTTTACATTGAAAACAAAAGTATAATGAATAACAGTTTTTCCCCGCTATTTTCTTGGCATTTTTGAGAGTCAGAAATTTGTTATATTTGCATGCATTACTTACACATTTATCTACTGGAATGAACTCTAAAAATTAATGCTTAAAAATAAAGATATTAACAGCATTTTAGATGATACTGTGCCTGTTAATATCTCAGTACGGAGAATACTAGTTGTTTTAGTTCAAGACTTCCTCATGCTGGACCTTCTTTCTCCTGATCTTTGTGCAGTTCATAATAGACATCTTACAATTTTTACCTGGAACAGAAAAAAAAAAAAAAAAAAGAGAGAGAGAGAATTTGAATAAAAAATTCACTTTGCAAAATATGTGAATAAAACTTTAACATCTTTAATTTGTCTTTTAACTTACAGAATATAAGAAATGTATGAAAATATGTAATATAGAGATGTCTAAAATACTAGAGATTTAACTTTAAAAAATTAAATTCTTATTCATTTAAATCTTTATTTCATTTTTTAAAATAAAGCATTGAATTGCTATTAATTAAAATGCAATTAATTTATAATCTCTTCAACTGATGAATTTATAGGCGTTTGCAATGTTTTATGGTTCATAAAATATGTATATGACACTATGTATTACTTAACTGTTTCGAATCATTTATTTTTTTAAGATGTTTTACGTTTATTATTATTTTTATTTTTAAAGAAAGCTCACTTCCATACCGTACTTTGCAAACTGAACTTTCCAGTGCATGGACCTCACGTAATTACTTCAGTTGCAATTTATCGTCTGGAAATGGATTATAATAGTAATCTTTTCAATGTTTTGGTAAATAGTTGTTAAATCAAAGCACGCAAAGTTCGTTGAACCTGAGAGGCTAGGTTCGTTATTGTATCAGAATATTTGAGGGTTATTTAGGTTGAGATCGTGGAAAGAATAAATCGGAAAGGACTTTTCTGGGAAACTGACTCGTAAATCTTGTGCAGATAGTCCTTTTAATTACTGTTATCGAATTCTGTAGGAATCACTTAAGTTCAGTGTTCAGGACAAATGAAATCGAGTGTAGAATCATTCGACCCTTGTTAAGTGATTTGATTTGCTACTTCGAATTCAGCTTTGGTGACTAGAGTAAAAATAATAATAATAATAATAATAATAATTGCCGAATCTATTTTACTATCTAACTGTCTAAGTTACCGAAATTAGATTGGGTGATATAGGGTAAAAAGATTTACAGCCCAGTCTACTGTAATAGGCCAACCCGTTATATAGAAGATCAAATTCCCAGTTTTGAGTGCTTAGACATTCAGTTACTGGTGAGCTTTCCAAAAAACGTCGTTAAATTTTCTTTTGAGAATGTTTACTTTGATAAATGATCAATCTAAGTGTGTCTGAACTCGTGTAAATCTGAGAAGTAAGGAAGATTAAAACAGAGGTATTTTAAAACTGCTTGAACGTAAATACAGCAATATCGAAATATTTTTTCTTAATAAATATATTCTTCCTCATTTTTTACTGTTTGGAAAGTTGCAACAGTCATGGTACACGTTCATAATCGTGCGCAACAGTAAGGTCTAAAAACATCTTCTAGATCGAACAAAAAAGGAGGCTGAGAGGGTCTGTCTAGCCAGTCATTGAAAATGATGCAGTGTATGAGTTCCTATGCAAGTCTATTCGTGCAGGAACGCTGTGTACAGGTCCTGGATGGTTTGGGGATGATAAAGACGACTTGAAATTGTCCGCTGAAGAACGTCCCATATATGTTCAATTGGTTTTAAGTCTGGACATCTCGTTGCCAAATTTATCTGATTAATATCCTCACTTTCCAGAAAAATCATGCACCGAATTAATTCTATATAAGCATTATAGTCCATAAAAACTAACTGAGAACCCATTAAAACTTTAAAAAGGCATTAATAGACCAAAATATAAAAATAATTGGTAAAAAAAACTGTATAAACAAACATTGGGATTCAGTAATTTAAGAGAATTTTCATACTTGTCCGATTATCTGCAGAACTGATGGAGAGATTTTAATGAAATTTTATAATTAAATAGTTTGGAATAATTTTTTTTAAAGGAAAGCTATAATGGTGTACATGGCATCACTCTGCTAAACAGAGCCCAATTGCTGGCACATACTATTTTATTCAGTTGATTAAAACCCAGTATGTATTAATTTCGGCAATAGATGCCTTCTAGAAATCGTTAAATGCAGTACAACCTAACGTGCAAAATTGGACATAAATGTGAAAATATCTGGTGAAAAGGTGATTTTTTTTCTAATATGATCTAGAACCATCTTTGGCGTTCAAAACAGCTTGAACGGTCCTAGAAATGGACAAATATACATTTTTGATTGGAAATGTTGAGATACTATACCACTCTTCCTGCGAAATTTCTTTAGTACCCTGTAAAGATGTTGAAGGCAGATAGTGGGCTTGAAACTTGTTCTGCAAAACTGACTGCAAGGGTTGCGTTTAGGTGCGGTTAAGGAAGTTAAGTCAGAAGGAGCTATGAAAAACGAGGAACATTAGTATGCTCAGCAAAGAGAGTTTATGATATGGGATGCATGGATTAGGAACTTTATCATCTTGATAAATGGCATCTCCTACGGGAAGTAGTATGAGCAACATTAAGTAGATTTGATCTTTCGAAATGTTCGACAACCTTTAGCAACAGTGCTACCTTACAAGGTAATAATGGTATTGGCAGAATAGTCTAGCAACCCAAACCATGATCGAACTCCCGCTAAGCTTCACTGTCATCCGGATCAAAAGTTTAGATGGTATTCTGCCCACGTAAACTCGGCCACAGTTAAGAAAACATATGAAGGTGGTTCATCAAACCAAATGATAGTCATCCATTGATTGGTTTCATGAAAGTTACACCTTTCCGTCCCCCTTCTTCCTCAATCAATAATTCTGCAAGTGTAGCTCGATTGTAAATTTTGGTATTTATGTATAATCTTTTGCTTTTCTGTATTGACACGTTTGAAAGCACATTTTAGCACAGCAATTAAATTTTTACTCTACTGTCTTCCTATTTTTGGTCACAGTCCTCGCTATGTCTTTTTTCTTTGCCATTTAAATAACACTTTTCGCCCACGCTGCTTACAATATGATGCTGCTTCAAAAATATAGAATGAAGGAAGTCTTTTTTTTAATACGGTACCTCGTGATTATCAAATAGATCCACTGCGAAATTTGGTCACTGCGAATCATGGTATTAATAATTAATCGTTTTTGCACTTCGCAAGCTTGTCCGTACATCACGTGCAGCTGCACTTTGGCTTGCAATCGGTATAACAGATTTTTATCTAGATACAAGAAACACAAGCAAGTACAACGTCTGCATTTAAATAGAGAAGGTTTACTATTTTATTTCATTCTTTTACCATACGTTTCCATATTTTTGTCCAATCTCCGTATCCAATGTATTTGAACTATTTTCAAACTGTGAATACAATTAACTTAAAATATAAATCATGAAACAAAATTAAAAAGTAACTAAATAGGCAACTTTAAAAATTCAAATAGAATATTATTTACATTAAATACGAAACAGGAGACTAGAGTTGTGTACTTCGTAACCATTCAAAAAAAAAAAAAATTATAATTTTTTTTTCTGAGTAATTTTTAAAATAATATTCATTTATTGTTACCTGTTTATTTTCATTTGCTCTTTTTACATTTCGTCGGAAGATGCATCTTTCATTACAGATGTATGGATGGGAAAGAGGATTATCTATCGCAAACCTCGCTTATTCTAGCAGCGATTGTAATTATTCGCGGGGTCCTCTCTCATTTCGAATCTCTTTCGCATTCTTCCGCCAATATTGGAATGCGGAGGGGTGCAGCGGATTTATTGGTCCCCGTGCAAGATCGGTAATTACCTCTGGACCTGGGTCGATTCTCTGCGACTTTATTTATGCGGTAAAGGCATTTCTGCCTGCCCTGTAGACAAAGCAGCAAATTACAGGAGGACGACTCTCACCGTAAATTAAACATAGAATTTTCTAATTTCGTTTTTCCTCCTCCATATTCATTTGGGAATGAAAGAATTATTCGCCAACATCGATTATGTTTGTCAGAACCCTCCTGGAAGAGAGGGTTTATTTTTATGATATATAGAAAGAAAATGTAAGGTGATACTTTATTTTTTGATAACTTTTTTCGGAAATTTTCTTAATTTTTTTTTAACATGAGTGGAAACATTTTAAAAATTGTGTCAGCTGGCTTTTTGTTTAATGTAAGTAAAGATTTTTAAATGAGACAATTTTTGGCGTGAATTTTTGACAATTATATAATTTTGTCTAAAAAATTAAATCTTGTATTTTCATTTATCTCTTCCCTAGCTGTTATACTTTCTTTTGATTTAAATTGTATTGTTTAGATGCAGGAAAATTCATTTCTCGAAGAGAGTTAGAGAAAAGAATTTTGGATTATCGTGATCAGAAAAAAAAAAAAAAAAGAATGAATGAAAGTGGTAGGAAACAGGTCATTCTTACACTCATCACTTTGAGGAATAACATTATTTTTAAATTCAGTTTGTATAAAGTGAAACTTCAAAATTTACCTGTCAAACTTCTTTTTCTTAATTTAAATTACAAAATGATTATAGGTGGTCGGCTGGACCACCTAAGTGGTTCAGTCAACAACAAAACAAAAAAAAAAAAAAAAAAAAAAAAATTAATGATACGGTTATGAATATTTTTTAACTTCATTAAAAAGCATAGAACTGAGAAACTGGCAGTGCTTTTCAACTGGGAGGTTTACACTACGAGAAACCATACTTGTAATATATCGATAATCAATAGCTGCTGAAAAATTTCTTCACCGAATGATAAAATTTCAGTTGGCATGTTTTGCAAAATGTTTTTCATAATGTACAAAATCGTTCAATTTCCCTTTGCTGTTGGTAGTTATTCAGTACCTGATAACATTTTCCAAACGCATATTTTAATAAAATGAACCCTGTCATACCGGCATTTGTAAAAAGTGACAAATATTTTTTTTTTTTTTTTTTTCTTCTTCTTCTTGAAAGTAAACTGCGGTGTTGAAGCATCCCCCCTGTAAGGAGACCATTTTCACAGAAGATGTGATCTCTCTGTGATGACTACACATTTGCTAAGACCAGATGGGTGGTTGCCATAGAGAGATCACTCTATATATAATTCATCAATGACAGTAAACACTTTCAAGTCAGTTGTATAGAGATACCACAGTCTTCTCTTTTTGCGTTCAGTGTTATGAGTTCACTTGAATTTTATGTATTTTGTCTGTAAACCTCT